TGTTTGTTTTCTTCCAAGTGTTTTCCAAATATTGAGGTTTCTTCCAAGTGTTTTGCAAATATTTAGGGTTTTGCTTTTCCAAAGTCTGCTCCCAGTGTAGCAGGCAGAGAAAAACAGGGTTTTTTTAATGCGTTTTGAAGCTTCAAAGACATTGGGATCTCCTTGCTGTGAGGGGAACAGGGAGCCTGGTTCCAAAACCAAGGGATGAGCCCTCGGCTTTTGCAGAATTTAATTCATTTGGAGGCTGCAGCACCATTATTTTTTAATACCAGCCATTGGCACACCAGTCACGGAGCGGCTGCTCGGGTCCCTAGCATCACCTCCTGCCTCCACCTGGCTGATCCCTGGGACATACCCCCCCAGTGCACCCCAATGTCCCGCTCACCATCCCCTTCCAGAGTGGGACAACTGCCTGGGGGTTGCAGGGTCTCATGCAGCATCACGGCCTGAAAATTAAAGCCATAAATTGCTGCTGCATGCACTCGCCCTCCTCCAGGGAAGAGGGGGCCCAGCCAGGGGTGGTGCTGCCGGCACCAGGACAGGGGACACTGGAAGCAGCTGGGCTCTGGAAGTGGCATGGAGCATCCTTCTCTGTGCCGAGCATCCTTCCTGGTGCTGAGCATCCTTCCTGATACCAAGCATCCTTCCCAGAGTATCCATCCTGGTCCTGAGCATCCTTCCAGGCACCAAGCATCCTTCCTGCTCATGACCATCCTTCCTAGTGCTGAGCATCCTTCCTAGTGCTGAGCATGCTTCCTGGTGCTGAGCATCCTTCCTGGTACTGAGCATCCTTCTTGGTGCTGAGCATCTTTCCTGGTGCTGTTTTGATCCCACAACTGCTTTAACTGATTGCCAGAGCCCCGATGCTGCTGCTGCTGCTCCTGGGCCGTCACCGAGCTCCTCATGTGCCAAATTGCTGCCTGATGACAGCTGAGCACCCAGCCAGGTCTATTATTGCTCTGGGGCCCGGGCCCCACGGGCCTGCAATTTAGGTCTGGGCTATTAACCCTGCCTTGTTCTCCACTTTGTAACCGCTTTAGTGCCTTTTAAAGTGTACAGTTAAAACCGGGGTTAATTAGGGGCCCAGCAGCTGGGCTTCGCCAGTGCCCATTGTGTCCCAGCGGAGCTGGGGCCAGGGCTGGGGGTAATTGGGGACTGTTGTGGGTTTGTGTCGATGACACAAGCCCCGGATCGTCGGCCTCCGGTTAACCTGGGTCTCTCCTGCCATAGGGACGGCTCTGGTTGGCTTCCCTCCCCTTCTCTCCCTGCAGCTTCTCTTCTTTCCCAGCCTTTGAGTTGTGGCTGCAGCCAGGCATGGCACAAAGGTCCCTGGGGATGCAGGGAATGCTGGGGATGTGGGGGATGCAGGGGATATTGGGGATGTGGGGGTTGCTGGGGATACTGGGTATGTGGAAGATGCTGGGGATGTGAGGGAATATGGGGATGCTGGGGATATGGGAGATGTGGAGGATACTGGGGATACAGAGATGCTGAAAATACTGGGGATATGAGGATGCTGGGGAATATGGGGAATGTGGAGGATGCTGGGAATACTGGGGATGAGGAGGATGCTGGGGATGCAGGGATGCTGAGGACAATGGGGACATGTGTTATGATGGGAACATGGGTGATGATGGGGATGTGAAGGGTGTTGGGGACGCAAGGATACTGGGGATGCCAGCAGCAGTGGTGTGTGTGCCGGGCGAAGCTTTTTGGGGTTTTCTCAGGGCTCCCCCATCCCCACCCACCCCTCACACAGGTGCTGCCATCCTGTCAGACATTTTGCATGGACCCGGCTGCTCTGGGCACGGCGGGGCTGGGGGTGCCCAACCCATCAAGCCAGATTTATTCCGGATCGTGGCACCGATGGGGTCTGGGATTTACATCTGTGTCTCGAACCGGGTTTGGTGGCCAATTTGCTAAAGTAAAAAGTTGTTTAGCTGGAGGCGTAATCTTATAAGCCTGTGCTGCCATTATAATGGCTTCTCCTTTCTGCCTGGCTTTCCAATAATGCTTTGAGCAGAAGCTCCGAGGAACATAAGAAG